GGAGACACAAGTCAAACCTTTCCCAACTAGAAAGAATGAGCTCTGCAAGAGTCAATTCATCTCGAGGCTTTCAAACGCATCCAAGGAATTTGTATCCAATTGAAACATAGAAACCATCGATTCGTGTCACCTACTTGCTTCAAGCACAAATGGTATGGATTATCTAGTAGGTTCTTAAGGCCTCACTAATCAGCCTTCCACTTTTGAGCTCATAATGAAATGCACCAGCAAAGAAAACTACAGTGCGGGCTAGTTGCGAAGAAAACGTAGTGCGCACTACCTGCGAAGAAAACTACGTGCGCTAGCGTTGCGAAGAAAACTATGTATGCACTAGCTGCGAAGAAGTAGTGTGCTAGCGCGGCGAGAAGAAAAGAAAGAAAACGGATGCGCGGCGCTAACGCTTGCTTCTTACTTTCAAGCTGTAGTTTGCTGGCGCGCTAACGACAAAACTCGTTGGGGCTTTCCTCGTTGGTAAATTCATTCGAGAATGCACCCATAAAGATGGTGAATCTCTAGATTGAGCAAACATAGTGAATCCAAAAGCATACTAATTCACGAGAGATGATTTAGAGAGGGCTTCTAGCTCATTTAAAGGGCTTCTCTGTCCATTTTATGACCTCGTAGCTATTTTGAGAGTTTTCTTCTCCTTCTCCTCATGATAGAAGAGACATGAGACCTTTGAAATGAGGCTTCTAGCCCATTCTCATCATGGCTCTAAGCCACGAGTGAGGTAATCGAATATGTAAGGCGAAGACCATTCCACTTGCCTTTGGCTTTAGGAATAGCTCCTCTCGTACCTGCACCTTGGGGTTTCTGGTAGTTCATATTCCCTCTTCAGTGCCTGGTTAAGCACTGCCTTTCTGGGTGTAGAACTATGGGGCTTTGTCTCTCGAGAGAAGGCCCTCCCCCCGCTCTTAGTACATACGGCTAGCTGCTTCTGGTCATTAGTAGTACGTACTTACTTACCTTACTACCTCCTTAGGAAGACTAGTCAAAGTAAGACTGCTACGAGGAAAGTTTTCTTTCTCTTCCCCCCTCCCCTACTTCTTCTTATATTATGACTCTTACATCTAGGTCTCTCCTTCCTTCTACTGTTTTCTTTGGTACCATACTAGCAAGTCAAGTGTTACTCTTGTTAGACTCCTATTTAGGATTCATCCTACAATTCTATTAGTAAGTATTCCTCCCCCCCTATTTAGATTCTTCATCCTAATTGTATATATGTCCCCAGTATGTCTTCTTATGAATCGATGACGTATAAGTTTAGGTATGTGTGTCTTCCTCAATGACTAAGAACTTACCCTGGCTAGTTTTAAGAATAGGACTGAGATTGATCTCCATGCTTGGGTACCATAGGAAGATAAGTGTAAATTGTTAGATTAGTAATGACTCCCCTTACTTGGAGTCTTCCTTTCACCTATAACCCAAGCGAGTGATCAAGCGAGACTGAATCCTTATCTGCTCCTTATTTGCGGGCTAAGGCAAGGAATCATTTTTATTGCAGCGGAAGAAACATGCTTGCTCCTTCAAATACCCGAAGGAATGGATTTCTCATGAAACTATGAGCGTCCTCTGCTGAGCAGTTTCGGGCCGCGAACGCAAGCTTTTCTCCAGACACAGAATGCCTTCTTTTAGGTCCAATCCACCTCGCCCGAAGTGGTGGGTGAGGCAAGCCCTGAATATTTCTCAACGGTTCAGTGCTCGCTCCGATCACCATTGGATGAACCATTCATTGGATGGAGGATGGCCCAGCACGGTTGTAGTTCATAGCTATTCTATATTACGCAGAAAGTCTAAGCGCGCGATTGATTATTTTGAATGTTCTCATGCCGTAAGATGATGAGAACATTTCATTCTCCGAAAATTATTTCGCTCGAGAAGCACATGTTCCTGAGAAGCGTCAACCACCGGTTGGTTCATTCGAACCAGAAAGACGCATCGCCATTGCTTCCTTTTGGCCTAGGGGCCCCGTGCCATGCCAGTCAACCAGTCCAGATGGGGGGACAAGCTTTTCCTGCTGCTGACGCTGTTCTAATATTCAATAACATGCTATCCCCTATTCATCAGATCAAGCTGGTTCATTGATTCAAAGATTTTGGCAAAAGAAGTGCGACTAAAGAAGTGGAGAGAAGACGGTTAGCTATGTTGGTTAGCTAGAAGACGGTTAGCTATTTTGGTTAGATAAGTCGAGAGGCAGCCGGACAGGCAATAGGGGCGGCATAAAGCTTGATTGAGGGCGTTAGTTGCATAATGGGGCAAGGCAAACGGAGTAGGCAGTCGCTAGCGCACCGCATGAAGCGCATGAAGTAAGTACGTAATAAGTAGGATGTTTATCCTATCTCTCGGTCGCCCCTCCGATGAGGAATGGGATGAAGAATCGAATGAAGAAGTATGGCACGGTCACAATATCGTATTCAATCATGGGGTTGACATTGAATGAAAAAAATTAGGTTTTTTATGGTCCTGTCCCTTTGACTCGTTCCAGTCATATCTCTGTCCCTGGTTGATCACACCTGCTT